ATGTTACTAAACGAAATTTATGTTGGGCTACATGAAAAAATTAATAACTTATTAATATCAGACGACCGTCTTGAAGCTTTACTGGACATTCATGGAGTACAGTTCTCATGTTTAAAAGTTTAATAATGTCAGATATTAAAATTATAAAAATAAATCAAGATTGGTGACTAAACTTCGTTTGGTCGAAAAACCTGTTGACAGAGTAATTGCGCGGAAATATAATTTTATATGTGATCGTCTTTTTCCAACAAACTGTGTTCATGATGTAGTATATTTAAAAGTGTAGTTAATATACACCCTGTAGGGTCAATAAATTTCTAACATCATTATATTTTTAAGAAAAACTATACTTTACACCATCAGTTTAGAAATCTGGCTCTTCCGGATGCTATAACTTTCTGTAAAACTGCATGCTTCTTTAAAAATTATCCCGGACAGCAACTTACTTTTCATAATGATGACGTAGAACTATCAATGGAAAGAATAAAAGCACGAAAAAGCGTTGCAAATTATTTAGCTAAAAATGTATGCGATGCTAATTATAATGGAAAATTATGATAGTTCAAAAAAATTACATTAGATGATCTACACAGTTTTAGAGTTAATATTAGAAAATTTGGAACTTATTCTCACAGAATCCTATTAATTGTAACAAGCTGTATCATATTTAGGAAAAATGCTTGATAAAAAAACACTTTATCTATAAGCTACCTTAAAGAATAATTAGATATAGGAAATTTCAACAATAAATCTTGACACATCAAGACCTAGGAATACTACATCCATTAAAATCTGAATACCAAAGGTACAGATGCAGTAAAAGGAAATTGCTGTAGCTGTGCAAATAGACTACAAACTCTTGGATGTTGTTCTCATGTTGCTGCGCTGTTATATTATTTGTCTTTGACAGATTTTTATCAGAAATAATACGACTAGCTAAAGATTTCATAATTCTTTTTAACGTTGACAATGTTTATTCTGAGATTGCTGAAAGTAGTGACGAAGATTATAATCATATGCAATAGAGTTTGTAAGTAACCTTAATTTTAAGTACAATCTTGTTGTAAACATTTTTTAATGTAAAAAACGCCCAAGCTAGGAGGTTAAAATTTGCGCACATCGTAAAAAAAAAAGTTACAACTTCTTAGAAATTAAAAGTTTTTTTAGAAATTAACATTTTTTTTTGAGATTATGTTTACCTCAAACTAATGTTAAAAAATTTCTCCGTAAAGTTACTCCCTAAAGTTTGATTGTAAATTTTTCCTTAAACTGGATCAACTGGATCATAAGATCGTAAATATCAAATAAAGGTCTAAAAGTGCCGATAGGGTTAATGGGACAAAAAAAAGGTTTTGATCTAATTTACTATTCTTTTAAATTTTTTTCAAAGTCCAATACAAAACTTTGTTACAAAAATATAAATAAGAATTAAGGGCATTCTACCATTAAAAATGAGGGTACCCTTCAATTGGAAGTAAGATAGCAAAAAGAGTAAAAAATTATGATATGGTAATAGCTAGGAGCTTATTAATAATAATATTACAAATGATTTTGTAAGAGAGTAGAGTTGTTAAGTTTAGTAGTTTTATTAGGCTAGAGACAAAAGATCTATAGTAGCCTCACTTTATTCTACAAAGCTGATTTAGACAGCTTACAGAGTTTCTAAAGAGCATTTCCTATTGCAAAGTGTATACTGATGATAGCGAGTGCAAATTAGTTAATAATGAATTGTATGAATGATAATAAAAGTAAAATAAATATAAATACACATCATAGTAGTTGTTGAAATATTTTTAATTGTAAAAATAAGATTTAGGCATTACGACAATTGATTGAGATAAGATGCAATTTATCAAGTGTTTAAGTAGCAGTTATGTGCTTTAAGGGGATCCCAGTAGGAGGAGTTAAGAGGTCGTGGGTAGTTTAATTGATAGATAAGAACTCACAGAATCTAGTAGTGTCTTTGTTTATATCTGTAACCGCGGAAGATTTCGAGATATTTCCTCTCAAAGTTCACACATTATACATAACCTCTTTTGGAGCAACACAAATGGATCTTAATTTTCTAACCATAATGTAGGAGTTATATATCAGGATGGCAACTATTTTATAAAAAAAAAATCTCAGCTTTCAGATGGTACCTTGCAAAATATAGATAACCCTGAAAAAATTCGAGATATTCCGTGAAGTAGTAATCAAGTCGTTGTATTTTGCTTGTATTAGCACACAGTTCTTACAGTTACACACATACATACATGATGGTGCTCGTACATGTACTTGCAGCAGTGATATCAACAGACAATTATTTTTGGGTAGGTACCAGTGCTCGCTAAAGCCTCCTTAATGATTCTTAAGAGTCGGCTCTTGGTATAGATAATTAGTGAATCAGGTAAACAAGTGTTCTACTCTTCAACAGCTCCAATAGTAAAAGAGTTATTATAGAGACGTCTAAAGTGACGTATGCCACAGTGAGAAAGAGATTTTTAGTGAACTGTGTCCTCCTTAATTACATGAACTAAATAGAAAGGCCGAAAAGTATGACAGACTAATTCTAGATTTGTCTGAGTGTTTATTGACTGAAGCTAGGGTGCATAATAGTTTTTAGCCAGAAATAGTTGAAAAAACAAATTACTTATAAAATATAATCATAAAGCACGATGTTAATCAAAATGGAACAATGTATGAAATCATGTTTAAAAGAAAACCTAGTATGAAAAATTAAAAAATTAATAAGTAATAATAACAGTAGTTATAAGAATACCAGATAGAAGAAAAATTAATATTGGGATAATAGGCCAGATTCGGGTGACTTGTTGGATTATGAAAATATTGGTTACAGCGTTTCAACAAATAATAAAATTGTAAACAACGAGACTTAAAACGATAATGATTAGGTCATGAGTTTGTACACATAGGGTTAAACGAAAATAAAGTTAAGAATGAAATTAGTAAAAAGTGAAAATGATAATATTAATAGTTAAAATTGAAAGTTGAGAAATATAATAAGGCAAAAAAAGAATCCTGTGAGTATAAATAAAACAAATTTTGTACACAGTTTGTTACTTACGTTAACTTTACAAGTGCTAAGATACCTGTATCTTATAATGATGCAATGAATAGTGATAAATCTGAAAATTAGTAAAAAGCAATAGGTAAATAAATGCACTGTTTGCATAAGAATAAAACTTGTATTTCTGTAAATAAACTAAATGATAAAAAGTTTTTTATAATTCAGTATGGGTTTTTACAAAAAAGCTAATAACGTTTTTAAAGTAAGGTGAATTGTAAAAGGATACCAGCAAAAGATATAATGGATAATATTCGTTTACCAGTAAAAAGAGCGTAAACGTTAAAAATTGTAATTTTCTTTTGTAGTCCAAATAATTTGATTATAGAACTAATGGATGTTAAAGCATGCTTTTTAAATAGTCAAGTCAAATCTAAGGTTTATGTCAAATAATCAGAATGCTATAAAAATGGTACTTATAAGTTATTGAAGTTCGAGTAAGCGTTGCGTAGAGTTAGAAAAAATCCAAGAGATTAGTATGAATGTTTACATAATTATTGAAAAAGTTAATGTTTCAATGGACGTGAAAATGACTGTCACTTGCGTGTTAAGTGACTAAGACGGTAACGTTCATTTGATTCTTTTCTTGGATATTTTATTAATCTATTTTGAAAATGGAGAAAATTTTTAAATGGTAAGAAAATAGTTGATCAAAAAATATAAAATAAAAAATTTATATGAAACAAGTTTTTATTTAGGTACTAAAATTCATTAAAAAATTTAAATTAAAATGACACAAAATGGAAATGACATTGTAAATTTTCAATTCTACAAAACGATAATGAAAAAAAATTTTTAATTGGAACCTGCGCAATCACTATGTGATAAAATAGTATACAGAAATTCAATTAAAGCTTTTTCATACAGCAGCTTAGGGACTAGACCACATTGTAGTTTTAGTGTATACAACCTGAACAGATTTTGAATTGTAATGATAGAATTCTTTTATAAAATACTTCTATTTGACTATATATTTCAAATTTCTTTTTTTTAAAGAAATTTATTTATAATGTCATTAATTTTTATGTTTATGCTATTGGGCCTGAGTTAATACTGATAAAAAATTAACAGCATGCATGTATAAAATAAATAAAATGCAATTTATTGAAAATCCAAGAAGACTTTACTTGATTTTGATTACGGATTTTATGGTCGATAAAGATCTATGAAAATATTGATAATGTTGAAAATATTGAACACTGGCGTGATGAATAAGTAAAAGTATAGAAATTAAAAAAAAATTGAAGTACATTGATATACCCATTATTACTCTGCAAATAAAAGTCGAATCAGAAGGAAATACAGCAGACATTTTTACAAATGTTTGAGGGTGGAAATAAGTTTAAGAAGTTTGAACGTATGCTAAATGTGAAATAGTCTTAAGTACTAAAATCAATACTGCAACACAACAATAAGAAGGTGTGTTGCAATACAGTTAAGTTTTGCTATGAGAATATAATTAGGAAGTAGCACGTACAGAATTAAGTATGGCTAATGAAAGCGATGCCGTGTGTGCTGTGGAGAGAAGAAGCAGTACATATGTAGGACATAGCTATTGACACACGGGAGTCGCTGAGACCTTGGTGGCAAAATTAGTAATGCGCTTTCTCGGTGAAAAAAAGTTCAGGTTCGAGACTTGATCGAGGTAGCACTTTTTTTAAATTGCTGCGTATGACAAATTATTAATACATTAGTTATTTTAGCTATAAGAATAAATGAGTTATCTTTGCATACTGGCTACTTAATGAAAAATGTCAATAAAGAAATTATTCATTCGTCATTTCAATTGTATAATAGATTCTTTTGATAATCTGTATATATGACAATCTCATAAAGCAGTTTAATTACTAGTTATGATAATGAAAAGGTGTAAAGTGTAGTAAAGTTCTGTAGTAAAAACGAATAGACGTAGTTAACTTATTTTTTTTTTCAGGTACGCCCTTTTTCAGGATTACATAGACAAAATAAATCAAGGAGACAATACTTTAGAAGAATTTTCAAAATCATACTTAAAATTTGGAGTTCACAAAAATGACGATAACTCAGTTACAATAAAAGAATGGGCTCCAGCTGCTGAACAAGTTTTTATTACTGGAGATTTTAGTAATGTATTCTTTAGGTTTTATTAAAACTTTTTAAGTTACTTTTGCGCGTTGTAAACTAAAAATAAAACCTATTTTTGATAAAAAATTTCATTTTTGAACCAGACAGTTTAAATCGATTTTTTTTGTAAATATATTATTGTATCTTGTATCTGGGCATAAAATTTTAGGGTATTCTAAATTACATTATGTAAGGGATCGTTTTTTTTTTTTTT